CACACTCTTTAAGCTGAGTTGTCTATTTATTACGGAATAACCCTTACACAAGTAACCCATTTAACATATGTATGTTTATTTACATTTTGCGTGGGTATTTTTATGTTACCCGCGAAGTCAGTCATTGGATGTGATTTAGACATCCTGGCCGTGAAATATTCCTGATATCGTATAGGGGATTACTTGTAGATAGCGTATTGCCAACACCAGGAAGATATTATAAAAATGATACCTTTTTGAATACGATTTAATTTCACCGTTATAACATAACACAATAGAGCATCTAACTGATCACATTTTAATGACTTTAACGAGAGGCAGCAATAGCCCTGCCGAATGATATCTTTTGGAAGACTTTTGTGCAGGTACATTAGATCACAATAAATTGATATTTTTTCCATGTCCTGAAATAACCATCAACCGTACCAAATAAGATGATGAAATTCAGATAACTATTTTATTATTTGTTTGAATAAGACGTACACTGGATACACGATATATGAAGACGTACACTGGATACCTTTCAGTAAGCTCCTAAAGACAGCCTAGAAAGGGCAACTTATAGATATATATTAGACATGTGTGCTAGTTTGGATAGTAAGGGGCAAGTACCTCAGGATACGCACGGCCTGAATAGTCACCCTGATCACGGCCCATCAACTACCTTGTTAGATTTCGACGGCTAATCTGATAACGCCCCTGCGGCGGCCTTGCCTGAATAACGCGCGCGCGCGCGTATGCTTCTATGATTTTTTCGACAGTTTCTCGAAGAACAATAATTTTTAGCTAAAGTGTTAAACCGTATTCCTTCATAATCTTCTTGCGCTTTTCTTTGATACATTTATTATTTGAAAGCTTCTTTATTTCAAAACTCACATTTCTATATTCTTTTGAAGATTATGAATTTTTCTTTAAAGTCCTTTTTACTGCAAGCCGATAACATGTCACAGATTGTTCTGTAGGAAATATTTGTATTATTTTCTCTCCCAAAGTTTTGAAGGCTTCATTGTACAATATGTAAAATCTATTTTTGTATTAACCCTTTCGTTACGGCGATCTGCTCCGCTAGAGTGACGTCACTGAACGGGACACCGCGCCACAAAATGTGCACATTGCACGTCGGTAGCCTTCGGTGTTTGCACTTACGTCTTTCAACGCCATTTTGGGATTCTCTTGTATGTCCACTTTTTAAGAGCATATGTATATCAAATTATAATTTTTAGTGACGGGAGTCGTCACACGTCGTCGCATATATGTCAACTATAGTCGGCATCCCTGCTGCACATAGCTTTCCGCACGCCGCCGACTATAATCGGCACCCAACTAAAGGGTTAAAAATCATGTATTACGAAACAATTTTTTTTATAAATATTTGACGTCATTGGCACTTGAATGGGGGAGCCGAGCTGATACCGAAAAGCACTAAACGCCTAAAAGGATTATAACTACGTTGGGTCCCTCAGGGTTGTGACGATGTAGAGATTCGCCTAGAAATTAACCGTTTTCCGTTACAATAGATATGTCTATACAAGGTTTGAGTTAATCGTCGAATCGTAGTGACTTGGTTTACAACTAACAATATGCTCGGCTGCAATACATTTTTTAAAATAACTACTCATAAAAATTTGGTAGGAAAGACTGATTCTAATAAAATCAAGCGTTTATGTCAAAATTATGTATTAATTTGAGTATTCTTATTTAGAAATTGTCTACATTGGTACATTAAATCCTCAACACCTTCATGTTTCGAAATTGATGCTCAACAATGGAAAGCACGTACTATGTGAAAAACCTTTGACTCTTAACTCCAAGCAGTGTTCTGAGTTAATAGAACTGGCGGAGAAAAAAAATTTGTTCCTTATGGAGGCCGTTTGGAGTAGATGCTTTCCAATTTATGATGTGATTAAGAAAGAAATCGAATCTGGAAATATCGGAGATGTCATGCAAGTTATTGTTAGTTTTGGATTCAAGTTGGATCAAGTGGACAGGGTCAGGTAATAAACCTCTAATATAATATATTTCTGCTTACTGTAAAACATGTTGAAAAACGGGGTGGTATTATTCTAGTATTATGCTATTCGCTATGTATACACCAATATATCTATACGTCGGTAACCATGGGTAGAAATGCATATGCTATTGAATATGTGTCTGTAGAAAACTGACAACAAGCTGCGAATAGAATCCATATACATTTCCACACATACTGACATTGCTATATTTGTATGCACAGAATGAAAACAGATAACATGTGAAATAACGAATTAGCAATTAGTAACTTCACAACAATGTCATGGAAAATTTTATATACTGGAGTAATTTTTTGGCAAACTGTGACTTTTTGTCACAGAAACTTCTGAAATTAAAAAAAAATAGTTTTTTTATGATTTACTGACATTTCCGCAAGTAAGAGTAATAATCATATAAATAATGTTAAAATTGTTAAAATATTAACGCATTGTTAACCGGTCACGAGATGACTCTAGTTTGCACTTGTATTAACTATTTCATTTCCACATTCGATTACGAAATAATAGCCAGAGACATCAGATAGCGTCTGCGTAAAATTGCCGGTCAACAATGTGTTAAGAAGTAAATTTCTAGTTGGACATATGTCAATTATAAATAGTATAAGTCTCATTGTCAATCGAACCTCTATGAACTCATGGAATTATTATTATTTTCTTAAAAATGCAACAAATAATCAGTACAGTGGTATTTAAATTAACTCAGTGCTCAAATTCTAGTACTTCTATGATTTGTAAAAATGCTATTCAATTATTACAAAAAATTTTTTTTTATTGAGAAGTTTAGGTAACAAAAGTTACTATTTTCTGAAATTTACCCATATAGATATCAATAATATTGGCACAGTGTGTTCCTAAGTGTCTTATGTTACTGATATTGTTATTATTTATATGTAAACAATATATAATGGCAAGTTATAGATAATAAGATAACATATAAAAATATCAATTTAATGTTATAACGTCGTTCTTCATAAGTTGCTCTTTAATTGCAATGGAAAGTAAATGTGAATCCTTTAACATGATATTTGTGATATAAACGTTTATAACAGTCCTATTCATACATTTCAGTGCGGTATCCATACCATGCACGTGCATACACTGATATAAAAGATTATTTCATAAATCTAAATAAGATAGTTCACTTTCCATTTCAATTCTTTATCATTTGTACTAGTATTCGTGTCCGGACAGTAATCAGCGATGATATATTTACTAAACGGACGGTACCGAACAATGACGATACCGTAGAGTCCGAACATTCTTGACACTGAATGATATTGAAATATGTGAATATTTTGTACTGATACAGACGGATACGGAACAGATGCTACGCTGTAATGCGTGAATCGGCTATACAAGAATCCAACTTCATCAAATTTGTTCGTACAGTAGCCTATTTCTAAGTGCTCCTCTAAAGGATTTTACTGGTAGAGATGCGCTTTTGCAAAGGTACTCTCACTCCATGCGGTCAACAGTCCAGCGACTGCCTAACCACGCGAAGTTGGGGATTGTAATCTACCCGCCACGTGCTACAAATACGCCAGCGGGAGAGTCCTCATTGCTAAGACTGTTAAGCGCTGGATCCCTATTGGGGGTACATTCCCAACGACCGATTGAGGACAAAGAGTTAGGCGCTCGCTTATAGAGCATGCACTTAGAGAGAGGTTATCGTATCGATTTTGGTATCTGGAAATAACTATCACCAAATATGCTCCAATTTGATGGTTTATTATATAATAGTATATTCATGAAAAAATGATTGGCATTCAATATGAACATGCCAAACAAACCAGCTTTTTGTGAAATTTAATGGTGTTACCATTGTATAGTTAAATATTTATTTAATGGTAAAAAAATTGTTGTAAATTAAAACCAGCTAAAACGCAAAATGGCGATAGTACACTTCCAAATATTCTTACGGAGGAGATTCCATTTTCTAGCGCTAAATATGTGTTACTTTTTTTACATTCATTTTTACGAAATTATAATGTCTATCAATAAAACATTTAATAGATATTATTCATAATTAAATTTATTACCGGATTTTTTCGAACTCTTTTTCTGCGAAATAACGCTAGATGTTGTTCACGAAGTCATTGGCATAATATGTATGTGTGCTTCAGATCATCTCAAACAAAAAAATCAAACGGTGTTTTACTTTGCATAAAGGTGGTTATTGCTTGAAAAATAGTAATTAATAATAATTGATAATTAATATAGAAGTCGATACGTTGCCTTTAACAGGTCACCTTTTATTAATGTATTAATAAAGATACCTTTAGCAGATCGTTATTTCCTTGTTGATAAAGTTGGTCAAACCATAACCACATTTATTTAAAGTAGAACGTCGATTGACTGTTTGTTTCAGATAATCCGGAGCGCAGAAATCATGCCAACTACGAAATCGCGCGACGCCATGAGTAACAGCTGACAGTCATAATTTTGTCAAAAAATATTCACAAAAAGTAAAACATACATATTTGGCGGTAGAAAAGCGGATCCTTTAATAGACTTACGGCAGCTATTCGTTGGACTGACTAATAGAACTTTCTCTAAGAAATGCCAAACTGATTACATGATTACAGTTTAAAACGATATGGAGGTGGCACTATATTTGATTTGGGAGTATATGTTCTTGAATTTGCCAGTTTTATATTTAATGGCGAGGAACCTACTGTCATTAAAGCAGCAGGACACTTAAATGATGATGGCGTTGACGTATCCGTTTCTGCAACATTAACATATAAGAATAAGCGTACCGCAATAGTTTTGACACATTCTATCGTAAAATTAGAAAACGAGGCTCAGATTATCGGTACAAGGGGCACAATTAAGGTACCAGACTTCTGGTGTCCAATCAAAATTGAGCTACCCACAGGAAAGGTCGAAATACCGTTACCAAAAGCAGCACATCTATTCAACTTTTACAATAGTGCAGGTTTGCGCTATGAAGCCATCGAAGCTCGCGCTTGTCTGAAAGCTGGTATGTTGTTGCAAGACATTCTGTATGCTGTGCGTTTTCCATTTACTCAAGGTGAACTGACATAAGTCGAGATAAAGTCTAATTGCTCGTTGACTCCAGCAGAATTTAAAAAAAATTACCAGTAATGCATATCAAGTTGGTATTGAATTGTGTCGACTCAAGTCGGGCAAATAGAAAACTCATACTATGAATACTTCTCCATAAAGTACACATTTCTTACTTTAGATAAAAATAAGCACAAACATTATATTGAACATCATTTCACTTATATTTAGTAATATTTTAGTATAAGTTTTGTATAGAACATTAGGGTATATACTGTGACGTGGCATTTCGACATGCACGCCACAAAATGTAACATTCTGCGATTTCCGGCTACATCGTGGGGCCCTATGCGTGGGGAAGGGATTTCGTGACGTTGGACTGTATATTATTTGTTGAATTTGTATTTATTTCCCGCGTGGGAACGTTTTTTTTGTGTTTTATATTTTTCAAGCGAATCCGGAAGGATCTTGTCAAAATTTGAATACTGCGGGCCCGGAGAGTGCTAACCACGGGCCTGGTGGAGCGCGCTGGCGAGGTGACGCGACAGCCAGACCGGAGCACACACCCTAAGATGCCAGCTACGCGGAACATTCAGCGAGCGTCTCCCCAATCCAGAGGGCATACGGAAGTTGCAGTAAAGGCCTAGAGCCGCCCATCGAGGGAGCAGAGGTGGATGTGATTCCCACCTCCCGAAAATATCATTGCAGCCATCCCAAACACGAAATATGCCAGGATCTACTTTATCGGAATCGAAGAAAACAATTGAAGATCGCGAGCGCTCTGGCGAAGTTGATGGATCCGCCAATCAGCTTGGCCTAAGGGATGTATTACAGCGCGCCTCTTGGGAAGGTTCCCTATTTTCGAAATTCTTAGCGTGACTTACGGTGTGGCCGAGCCTAGGAACAGACGTGTTTCCGTCTGATGAACTTTGTATAGTCTCGTATTGTTTTGCTTTAGCTTTGTCGGATTTTTC